ACTTGGCATGGTAGATATCCAGTAAATATTTTTGAATGAACTAAGAATCCTGGTCTCCATAGGTAACTACTTGTTTTCCCAAAGCAGTAAAAGACAATTTACCTCTTTAATACAATCAAATTGACAATTTTAAAAAAGAAATTGATGTCTACACTATGATAACATTATAGGATGCAATGGAGGATAACTGAGGCTACACATATATCAAATCAAGGTTAAAGGCACTGGATAAGAAAGATTATTACAAAGCATTGTAAACAATTTTTAAAGCAAATCAAGTTTTAAAGTATCAAATGCCAAGTTTCTACGAGGAAACAGTACTAAAATGATGACAATACTTTAAAATAGTGGACAAAATTTCTGTAATTTCACAAATAAAATTCTTTCATTGTTTTACCATTTTCTTTCACCCTATATCTTCTACAATATTCCAAATCCTAGAAACTAATATTTTCAGTTGCATGAAACAATTGCAAGTAAAATATCTCTGAAAATTCCTTTTTCTTATGTTATAAATTTGATAGGTTATAGAGATGATATGAAGAACATCTTGAAAATCATAACATAGTAAATTATACTCAATCAAAATCAGAAAACAAGTTCTTATTCAGCTGAACACAATCTAAAGCCCCAGATGGCAAATTGTAGTGTAAGAGGCATAGTAAGTACAATCTTTCCAGACACATAAAAAAAAAGAATAATGAATACTGAGTTGAAAATACCACAAGCTCCATGTTAGAGCCATTTAATATACATTTTCACAACTGGTTCTTGAAAAACTATTTAGATAAAATATTTATCAATTTTTATTTATTTGCATCTATGCAACTTCCAACCATATTAAAATATCAATTAATGTAAATGCTTTATTATAAAACTATTATACAATTTAAATTTTTATTAGAGAAATGTTATTATTCACTCTCCATAATTTCTTAAAGTTCTTTTTATGAGTGCATTCCATAAGAAATAATGCTAAAATCATTATTTGTGTTCCCTAATGGAAAAATTTTTTTTGATAATCCTGTTAACCCAAACTATATCTTTATCACGCTTACTTCTTAAACATTTACATGTTTAAATACGCCTGGTGAATAGTGATCATTCATTCCCACAGTGGTAAATTTCAGCATAATGCTAAATGACTGGACTAGATAGTAAAATAGTCACAGGTAGATTACATAAACAGACACTTATTCTGTTATATGTAAGCTTAATTATAAAGTAACATAAAATGAGCATTGGATAACAGTGATAAAAAATGTAAACAAACAGAATTAAATGTTAATCCCTTCCCTGAAAAACAAAAGCGCTTCTTGTTTTATTAAAATAA